AGAAATGCACATATATTATAAGTTTAAAAACTAAAAATATGCATATTTGAATAATTTAACTAATAAACAAAAGGCCAAAAAATATGTATTTTTTAAGGTTGAGAGACAAAAAAGTGCAAAAAAGAAATTATGGATCAAAAGATTCAAAACTATCTAAAATTTTAAAATTGAAAGGCTAAAATTAACATTTAACTTTTTTTGTGCCTTTTTAAATTATAAAAAATCAATAATTTGTTTTTTTGATACACCGGGAATAAGAAAGAAATGCAGCCTAAGCTCTAAGGAACGTTATCCCTATCATCTCCGCTTGTAGGATCATACTTACACCAGCGGGAGGTTCTGCAAAAAGAGTTGTGCCCATTGGTAATCCAGGTCCTATTGAAGCCATGTAGTCAGCCGCAGAATTCCCTTACCGCAGAGTATGTTGATTGATGCAAACACTGAAAGAAAGAAGCAGACCAAATATTGTAAGCAAAACAGAACAAGGGGCAGCTACCTCTTTCCTTTCTTGAACCAGTTGCACAGCCATCAAGGAGTCCATTTCCAATATCAGTTGAGAAATCCCAAGGGAATGAGTCAGCTTCAAACCCGTAAGAACAGGCCCAACACGACAGTTACAATAAGAACACCCGCACCCAATCACTAGTCCTCACTTAATCCTTTGTCACTGAAAGACCTATTCCATTAAAACACACCACGCTCATTTAATGCGGTTACTCCATTAAGGTACGTTACATCCACCAAAGACGCATGTCCCGTCAGACACATCATATCATGACTATGATAATTAAGAAAGTCACGTGAATGACCTGTCAAGACATATAAATATGTCTACACATGGTTCCAGAGAGGTATGATGAAAAAAGACTAGAGAGAACTCTTTTAATATTCTCATTGAAAGCATGGACCAAATTATTATTAATTTAAGTATTAGAGTGTTTACCTCGAAAACCATCCTCGGGGCTTTGTAGGTCAGAGTCGTGAGGAAGCCACAACGAAAAAGGTCTTAAAGGTTTGCTGCATCAACAAAACCTTGTCTGCAACCCCCATAGCTCAGCCATAGAGCTCGATGTGGTGCCAATATGAACAGAAAAACCTTGAATCCAACCACCCCTGGAGTCCATTTTTATGTTGAATGATACAAAAATTAATCTGACATAGTCCACTTAATCTGTTCAATTTTAATAAACTTAATCTAATACAGTCTACTAAAAAGCAATTAATTTATTTAATTTTAATATACTCAATTTTTAATTCAATAATTTAAATTTAATTGTTCATTTTTTCTTTTTAAAATGCTATTTAATGTGTTCATTAATTTCTATTTTACTCTTATGTTAAAAAAATAATTACAACATATTAAATGAGAAGACTTATTTAAGTAATTAGAGATAAACATGAAATTATATCAATTAATTATTACATCTTATTTTATTAAAAAAAAAAACTAGAGTTATTAAAGTTGAACAAAAAAAAAAAGTACAAAGTTGTAAGATTTTAAAATTATTTGGATTTTTGCTTATGAATATAAGTGAGTTGCATTAACTCGGCTCGTTTGTCAAGCGAACTTAATTATTGAATTTAATGAAAAAAATTAAATAGTTAACTTTTTTAGTTCTAGTTGCAAGTAACTCGTGCTCTGTTTGCTTTATAGCACAACTTCAATTGTATAGAAGCTCGAAGTTTAGGAAAATGACTCTTTTCTAACTTGATCAAAAATTTTTTAATGTATTTTACTCTCGAATCCTATGTGAATTGCCTTTTTTATTTAATGAATAGAAAAAAAATAAACTTCTTGCTCAAATATTTTCAAATATCAAATATTTCCAAATATCATCAACATCATCTATATTTAGGTAAGTCATTAATTTGGTCATATTCATTGTCAATCACCTTTTTTCATCCAACAACTTGTACAAACCAAATGGTTCTTTTTTCATCATTTAATTGCCTTTTTTCTTGGTTGGTTTTTTGATAGAACAACCATTATTTCAGTAGAAAAGTAAAAATCGTAGGATAACCAATCTCAATCTTATGATGGATGACTAAATAAGATCAACATTATATTCTACTTACATTGTAATTGAAATTGGACATTCTAACATTAATTGCCATGCAAAAAAAAAAAAAAAAATCAGAATGGAAAGAAGGAATGTAATGTCAATTCTAGTAGGTTTCTGCTCCAATTAACACTCAAAGAAATTTGGTCCAAGGTCCATAGCAAATCAATTCTTGCTCGTTGTAACATTCCTTTCAAAAATACAAAATAGCTCATTTGATGCATGTCTACTAATTCTCCCTGCCTGTGTAGGTTGCATAATTCATAAATCTGGAGAGCCCACAGCTTATGTTTGGGCCCTTTTTTTGATAGGGGGAAGGGGGGATCCAATCCTATACCCGTAAAAGATTTCAACTTTTAAAGGGCATAGACGTGGGCCTATTGAACCTCTAGCTCAGGGCCACAAAGGCCTATTTCAATAGCACAAACTTCTTCTTCTTCTTTTCTTGCCTTTGAAATGTTCAGTATTAATTTTCAATGACAACTTAAATGAGTGGACAGTGCCTCATTTTCAGGTCTCTGTTTTTAGGTTAGCATGTAGAGGATAGATGATATTCGTCCTGATTTCATTATTGGAAAAGCTTGCTAAAAAAAAAAAAAATTGGAAGAGCCAACTGAGAAGACACTTCATCAGGGATATAATTATAAATCTAAACAACAGAAAAAAATTGAGAAATATGTATTTAACTAGATACCAACAAGAATTTAATTGAATTGATACTTATTAACCTAAAAGTTTTAATTTAGAGTTAAAATTAGATATTTAAATTTATGTATTACTAAATAGTTAACCTTTGATATATATAAAAAATATATCTTTAACTAAATTGAAAAAATAAATTTAATTTTCAAATGGCCAATCTTTATTAGTTATTGACATTGCACACTTTTCCATTTTTTCTTCTAAAAACAAAAAATTCTTTCAATTTCAATTTTAAAGGAGGGAGACAAGTGGGTGGTTGGCATTCCTCTTCTAATCCCACAGACAAAATCAACTAATGTTGATTGAGGTGATTCGAGGTAATGAAACATCTTACATAAAAATGATAGGAATACCATCAAATCTTATCCCTTCAAAGCCATGACTAGGATAAAAAACACAAAAGCAAATTAAAAGTTTTTTTTTCCCCTCTTTTTTTACAATTTTCAATCAGAAAATGATGGGTAAGGGCAGCAAGTGGCCCAATAAAAGACAAAATGATGCAAGTTTATTACAACATTAAAGATTTCTAATTTAATGAAAAATTGAAGGTTGTTGAAATGTCATGTCTTTTATTTGTTATCCATTGCTTCTTAGCACTAAAACGAAGTTACCTGCCCCATAAGTAACTTTTATCTCTCTGACACCAGGGATGCAGTGGCATGTAGTATCAAATTTTTAACATTTAAATCACATGTTTTTATATACACTGCTGCAGCCGTTCTTGAAAACCAAAAACAAATTAAAACAGGGATCTTATATAATATTGGTCATGGAATAAGCAGACTAACAAGGAACATGATGAGTAATTTGTGTATTTATCAAAGAATATGATTATTTTAAAGCCGGCTTAGATTACTTTGACGCGAGCACGCACGCATGTGATTAGGTGAGTATATTTTTCGTGTTAATGACCATGTATAGATACGGATATCGTTTGGGATCATCTTGACTATGTCTATTTATCAAAGTTTGTTATGGAGCTTGAAAGGGTCTTGATCACATTATTGACTCTTTGATTAAGTACTTCTCAAGCTTTTCAAAAAAAAAAAAAATAAAGTACTTCTCAAATTTCGTTTTCCTTTCATGCTTCTTCTTACGTACTAGATGTTACTTATATATATATATATATATATTGCTAGATTTTTCTTTAAAATAAGTTTTGACAAATACTTTTCTTTTTCTTTTTCCACATCTTGATAGGAACATTTAATCAATGAGAAATTGAATTTTCTTTACAACTAGTCTTTTTCATTCATTCTTTAATCAAAGATGTTAACAAAGCAATGAAGGCATCTACCAAAAATGAAAATCAAGATGGCATGAGACAAATCTTATTAGAACATATATGAGAAGAAATTATAAAAAAAAAAAATTTGCAAACTATTATACAACATTTAGCCTCAAAAGTCAATCAAGCCTAATCCAACCATAGCTACCAAAAAGGCTTCTATCCTTTTCTTGATTAAAACATCAATTTTTAGTACTATATGTTGGGCGCTCAAGATTCAAATCTCAAGATAAGTATTAAATTTTTTTATTTTAAAATATATATAAATTGACTTTAAAATATCTTAACTATTTATAAAATGAAAAACACTTTAGTTTTAGTCAAAAAGAAATACCGGCCCGTCAAGACTCGTGAAAAAAAAGGGTGACATGAACCTATATTATTAGTTTCAAATAGTTTCAATGAAATTGACAGATGGTAATGGAAGTAATAATGTTATCTGCTGATCCGGATTACCTACCTAACTTCCATTTTTCATCACTAGTTTAGTTAAATAATTTGTCCATATATTAAAGACTTGTTGTGTGGTTTCTTCGGTCGTCCGTTCTTTTTCTATCTATCCAATTTCGTCACTTGTAATTAAGAAATGAACAAAATCTACTAAAAACAATAAGTTGGTTTATACTTTATAAAACCTTAAAGCAACCTTAGCTTATACAGATGATTAATTTGGCCCCCTGATAGTGCATGTCAAAATCAAGATTAGGATTGAATCAACCCACAACTAATGGACAACATTATGCAGAAAAACACGTTGCCATTGAGATTAATTAATTAATTTAGCGGCCTCTACAAGATCAACTATTTTCCTTTGGAAATTAGTGATCTTCACAATCTGTTTGGTCTCTTTTTCCACTCCAGATTGAAACAATACCTTCACGCATATGAATGATAATGTTCAATTTGGGAGAAAAGGTGCAAATAAAAATATGAATTTTGTCTTTTTTTATTATTATTATTATTTAAGGTGTGAACTTTGTCGGTATTTAAATTACATAATAAACTTTCAATTTTATCTATTTAAGGATATCAATTATATATTTTTTTATTTAAAGATTAATAGGATGATTAAAAAAGTTGTTTTTTATGTCAGCATCACCATCCAATTAATTTTTAAATAGAAAAAAAAAAGTATAGTTGATATCTTTAAATAAAAAAAAGTTAAAAATTTACTATCTTATTTAAAAATTGATAAAATTTATATCCTTAAATAGAAAAAAAAATTCATATTCTTATCTACATTTTTATCTTCAATTTCGATATCAAAAAGTGTTTTTCAATCCAGACTAAAATATCATGGACTCTATTTGTATATTGGTTAAGGTCAACCTTTTTATAGTTCAATAAAAAGAACCAATTAATCCTCCAATTCAGAGAGTAATTTTGTACAATTTGATACAATTCTATACAAAAC